ATATACAATTTTCATCATTTTTAGTTAATAAAAATTATATTTATTTGATTTAGCCAATCAAAAATAATTAATTTTGCATTACATTAAGTGATAAAAATTGTTTTGTTGATCATTGCACAAATGTGACAACAAAGAGTGTCCACCATGCTAAATAAATATGAATAAAAATAAAATAAGAAATAAAATATAAGGAATAAATAAATGTAGATATAAAAACAAAGTAAATAAAGTAAAAATAGAAATAAAGATTTGGTTTGGAATTATGGTATTTCGACTAACAAATTAGCATTAAATCCTAATTCTGGTAACATCACTCCTCCTTCTAAATTGAGCTCTTGTGAAATAAAAGTCTGTATACTATCCACTTTGTTGATAAAAAAAATTTTTTTTTATTTGCATTATTATCAACGAATTGATTATTGATCCATCATATAATTAATTGTGTATTCATGCGCCTTTCCTGGTATGACTTTAACCTGTTTGCATGTATGAATCTTTTTTGAACTTTCCCATTATGATTCCTTAATTGGTAAGTCCTGTTTAACCCAATATCATGAATGTAGAATGGTCCTTACCATTTTTCTTCTAATTTCTTTGCAGGGTTTCTGTACAACAAAACTTTATCTCCAATATAAAATTTTTGTTCTATGACCTTCTTATCATACTGCTCTTTCTGTTTTTCTTGTGGCCTTGAAATATTTTCTCTCGCTTCTACTCTTTTCTCTGGTAAATTTCCAATGAGCTTGTAAACCCTTTTTAATAATAATTCTTCTTCACTGACAGTTTCAGTTGGGTATGTAGGAATTTGTAATTCTACCAGAAAAGTTGCCTCTCTTCATATGTTAAATAGAATGGTTCATGTCATGTGGTACTATGTGTCATTGTTCTATATGCAAACAATACTGAAGGTAAGTAAATATCCCAATCTTCTTCATAGGTTGCCACATAGTTGGCAAGTGCTTCACAAAGCATCCTATTGAATCTTTCTACTAATCCATTTGTTTGAGGATGATATGCTGATGATAATTTATGTTTTATTCCCATCACTCTACATAATTCATCCAACATTTGATTAACAAAATGTGTTCCTTGGTCAGTTAATAATAT